CATCCATTTTGGAGCATGTATTATTACTTCATACTTTTTAATGGTATGAATAATATTCATATAGCTGAATGATATTCATGCATGGATAGCACAGATTTTATTTATGCATCTATTAGATGATAAACATTTAGATTATTTCCATCTTGGGGCTGTTATGAATAATGCTGCTATAAACATCTGTATATAGTTTTCATATGGACATATTTTTTTAAATATTTTTATTTATTTCTAGGAGAGAGAGAGAGACAGCGTGAGTAGGGGAGGGTCAGAGAGAGAGGGAGACACAGACTCTGAAACAGTCTCCAGGCTCTGAGCTGGCAGTCAGCACAGAGCCCGATGCGGGGCTCGAACCCACGAATCGCGAGATCATGACCTAAGCGAAAGTCGGACGCTTAACCAACTAAGCCACCCAGGCGCCCCAGAAGTATTTTATTTTTTAAATGTTTTTTATTTATTTCTGAGAGAGAGAGAGAGAGAGAGAGAGAGACAGTGTGAGCAGGGGATGGTCAGAGAGAGAGGGAGATACAGAATCTGAAGCAGGCTCCAGGCTCTGAGCTGTCAGCACACAGCCTGACACAGGGCTCGAACCCACTAACCGTGAGATCATGACCTGAGCCGAAGTCGGACGCTTAACCGACTAAGCCACCCAGGGACCCCCATATGGACATATTTTTTAAAGTTTTCTTGGGTATATACACAGAAGTAGAATTGCTGAGTTACATAACTGTTTAACCATATGAGAAACTGCAAAACTGTTTCTCAAAGTGGCAGTATCATTTTATATTCCCACCAGTAGTGGTTTGGGGTTCCAATTTCTCCACATCCTCAGCCTTTTTGATCATAGCCATCCTAGTGGGTGTAAAGAGATATCTCATTGTGGTTTAGATTTGCATTTCCCTGATGACTAGTGATGTTTTTTCACTTATTTTTTTGGTCATTTGTATATCCGTTTTTGAGAAATGTTTATTTCTTTCATCCTTTTTTAAAAATTGGGTTGTCTTTATATTGTTGGGTTGTAAGACTATATATATATATATATTCTGGATACTAGATCTTATCAGATATATGATTTGCAAATAATATTTTCTCTCATTCTATAGGTTTCATAGGTTTCTTTCACTTTCTGGATGATGCACAAAAAATTTTTAATTTTGATGAAATTCGATTTATTTATTATTTTTTGTTGCCTATACCTTGAGTATCATATCTAAGCACACATTTTCAAATCAAAAGTCATGACAGTTAAGTCTATGTTTTCTTCTAAGTGTTTCGTAGTTTTAGCTCTTACATTTAAGTCTTTGATACATTTTGAATTAATCTTTGCATATGGCGTGAGGTAGGGGTCCAACTTTATTCTTCTTAATGTGTAAGCTCAGGTGTTGTAGCATCATTTATTTAAGAGACTATGTTCTTTCTCTATGGAATAGTCCTGGCATCTTTGTTGAAATGATTGACCAAAAGCATATGAATTTCTTTCTGGACATTCTTTAATCCCATGTCTGTCCTTATGTCAATACTGCACTGACTTTCTTTAAAAAAAATTTTTTTTAATGTTTATTTTTGAGACATGAGACAGAGCATGAGCGGGGAAGGGCAGAGAGAGAAGGAAACACGGAATCTGAAGCAGGCTCCAGGCTCTGAGCTGTCAGTATAGAGCCAGACGCAGGGCTCAAGCTCATGAACCATGAGATCGTGACCTGAGCTGAAGTCGTCTGCCTAACTGACTGAGCCACCCAGGCTCATTTTTTTTTTTAAATCTTTTTAATGTCTTTATTTTGTTTTGAGAGACAGAGACAGAGAGCAAGCAGGGGAGGGGCAGAAAGAGAGGGAGACACAGAATCTGAAGCAGGCTCCAGGCTCTGAGCTGTCAGCACAGAGCCCAACGCCGGGCTCGAACCCACAGACCATGAGATCATGACCAGAGCTGAAGTCGGACGCTTAATCGACTGAGCCACCCTTGCACCCCAATCAGTCTTGATTATAGTAAGATTCTAGTATATTTTGAAATCAGGAAGTATGAGTCCTCTAACTTTTTCTTTTTTGAGATTGTTTGATCATTTCGAGTGCTTGCAATTTCATATAATCTTTGAATCAGCTTTTCCACGTCTATAAAAATGGTTTTGAGGATTTTGACAAAGATGTAATGAATCTGTAGATTGGAGGAAGACTACTGTCATAATAATATTAATATTTCCAACCCATAAACATGGGATACTTTTATACTTATTTAGATTTTCTTTAATTTCCTTCAACAATATTTTGTAGTATTCATTGTATTTGTCTTGCATCTCCTTGGTTAAATTTATTCCTAAGTGTTTATTCTTTATGATGCTAATATAAATGAAATTTCTTAATTTTATTCTTGTATTGTTCATTGCAAGCATTAGATATACAAATTATTGTTTGTATATTGATTTTGTACTTGGAAACCTGCTGAACACACTTATTACATATGATTGAATTTTAATAGATACCTTAGAATTTTCTATACATAACATCATGTTCTCTGTAAACAGAGGTATTTTGGAGATGGATACCTTATCTTCTTCTAGCCTTGGCTAGAGCCCCCACTGCTGTGTTGAATAGAAGTGGTGAGAGTTGACTTCCTTGTCTTGTTCTTGATTTTATGGGGAAAACATCCAGTTTTTCACTAATAAGTCTGCTGTTAACTTTGGGTTTTTAATACATGCCCTTTATCAAGTTGAAGAAATTCCCTTCTATTCCTAGTTTGCTGTGTGTGTTTATCATGAAAGGGTATTGGATTCTTTTAATTATCTCTAATTATATCCATTTTAATTTAAATATCTTACATAAAAAAGTAATTGGGTAAGTAGTGTGAAGTCAGCTTTCTTATAATCTGACCTTTTACTTCTTATAGAAGCCATATTTTTTTAAAAAATTTATTTTGATTCCAAAACAGATGCTTTGATCTTCTTCTATTACTTCTCCCAGTAATGATTTAATCAGTCAAAATGATGCTTTTTCTTTATATCTCAAATATTATGGTTCCCTTTTAAAAAATATATATGCTGGCTCTTTTTATTTCTCTTTACCTTTGAGCAAAGAGAGCTCTGTTTTTCAGTATATGAGGTCTTGACTCTTCTGCCACCCACCCCACCAGCTGTTAAGTTCCTCCTCTTGGTCTTGATCTAAAAGGGTAATTATAGTTCAGAGGCCCTTGTAAAAGTTTTATGTCGAGCACTCACTCACTTAATGTGCCATTTTAAAGAGGAGTCTCTTGCTTCTCATGATGGGTTATATGAGTGTAAGGATGTGGATTTACCTCTGAAAACTTAGGAAATGGTTGTGGATTTGCCCCAAGGCAACCTCCACTAGAACACACCTCTGGTGGCTCTTCTCATTGCTGCTGTCCCATCCCAGGATTCAGCACCCTGGTGACCTTTGCTGTGCCACTACTGAGTCCAAATAGGGTCTTAGAATGGGAGGAGATTAAGAATTGCAGATTCAGGGATGGTATAATGGCCTTGGTTTGCCCACCTCTCACCTCAAGCATAAATGATTTTTAAAATGGGAAAGTTGAGGATGAACTGACTGTTCCTCTCACCAGCAAAAGCTGCAAGTCTCTGATATCAGGCTGGGAGAGTTTATCAGGGCTTCCTCTGTACCAAGTGCTTTTCTATGTGCCTCACATGTATTAGTTATATTATCCTCATAACCACTGTATTATTACATTTCATAGATCACGGAACTGGAGAACAAAAATACAAACAACTTTCCAGGTTCACACAGCTACTAAGTGGTAAAGCCAGCATTAAACCCACCACCTGGCTCTTATCCCTTGGCCACACCAACAACATTCCCTCCTGTACCTGTCCTGCTTCTGTGTCCTCTGGGCACACCTGAGCTTTAGTAGAGGATACATTCCTTCTCTTCAGGGTCTAGTTCCTTCTGAATAACATTCCTAGTTTCCTTTGCTGTTGGAATTTCCTATCACTTGGGTGTTTTGCGAGTATTTCAGTAAGGAAAGTGAATCTTGCCCCATGAACAACTATTATCTGAACTCAGAAGTCCTTATGGAATTCTTTGCATATGAGCTTGACCCTAACGTCTGTGCTTATTTTATGGATGAGAAAATCAAAGCCTAGAGTGGTTAGTCCACCTCCCCCAAGCCATAGAACAAGTGATGGCCAAGCAGGATGAGGACTCGTCCTTCCCTGGCTTGTTCCCCACTGTGTTTTGCCAGGTAAACTGAGAAGCCACTGACATGAAATTTAACTGCCTTTCCTAATCCACTTCCAAAGGTCCACATGCCCTCAAAAGCCACAGGCAAACTTTGCTTTGATTTAATTTTAGCCTGCTTGATTTCTTCTTACCCTGGAAAATGGAATACAGACCCTTACTTGAGAATTTTCTCAAATTAGGCTGAGTGACACATGTCTTTTTGACAATGCATCCTGCTCTTTGCAATTTTATCTGGTGTATTTAATTGATAGAGACTTCTGGGTTAGATTACTATCAAAGCATGTAGTAAATTGTTGAGCGTGTGGCCTTAATGATGCCCTTGGCATCTCCTTCCAACACAGAAAGACGTTTTGCCATGCTGGGGAAGGCGGCTCCCTGGCATAGGGTGACAGGACCTCAGAGGAGTCCTCCTCGGGTTAGCAGCCTGTGCAAGCTGCATATGTGAAGTCCCTTAGTAATGTGGCACATGAGGAAGGGAAGCAGTATTCGCATCCCTACTGACACCAATTATGGTAAACACCAACCATTTAGACTTCAGCCCTTTAATAAAAGTTCCCTGAATTGGTTTTTGAAAGTCAAGCTCTCATGGCAGAACCAAGTAGGAGAGAAAAGAATGGAATAATTGGAGGCTGCTGTCTTTTCACTTCCCACATAAAATTATTTGAAGAGACAGGCCAGAACTTTAAACAGGAGACACTAAGGAAAGTTGTAATTTGGATGTCTGTTGTCGTGACTCTAGGGTGTTTGCTTAAAGGACTTTTTTTCTACCCACCCCCCCCCCCAAACTCTCTCCCCAGACATACTTCAATGATAATATCCTTACGCTGATCCGGACCCTGGTGACTGGAGGAGCCACACCAGAGCTCGAGGCTCTGATTGCCGAGGAGAATGCACTTCGAGGGGGCTATAGCACCCCTCAGACGCTGGCCAACAGGGACCGTTGCCGTGTGGCCCAGTTAGCGCTGCTCGATGGGCCCTTTGCAGACTTGGGGGTGAGTTCATGGCGCAGAGGTCACCTGAGCTCACTGACCAGGAATAGTTTGGCCAGACTGAACTGGGTGCCAGACTGAGGAGCCAGACACCTCTCTGTTCTGTCTTCTGTGGTAACTAACTAGAGGTGATGTTTATGGTCTGCTGTGCTTTACATGCAGTCATTCATCTTTATTCCCACAGCAATCCTTTGACACAGATTCTACTGTCAGACATTCTAAGGAAACTGACGACTATCAGGAATTTGCTCCAGGAACCCTGGCTTCAGAGCCTGGGGGCTTTATTCACTCCTCTCTAGGTATCTTCTACCACAAACCAGGAGGCATCAGGCGATTCCAGCATGTGGCCAGGGCTGGGACCCCTTTCCACAGTGTCTTAGCATACTTCAGGCCTACTTTACTCCCAAGGCACATTAATAGCCCATGAGGAGGTTTTCAAAACCACTGATGGTCATGCCCAATTCCTAGGATTCTGAATTTTTTGTATCTGCCTATGAGTGAGGCATTGGAGGTTTTTAAACACCACCAGTAACTATGTGCACCTAGAGCTGCTGGCCAAACAAATAGCGTCTCATGTGGATCCTTTAATGTCTCTAATTCCAGAACTAGGTCTTTGCATCTCTGAGGCTGGACCCAGTCAGTTTCCCCCATACCCTTCCTGCTGCGGAGGGGATGACCGCTTTCCCCCTTTGGGCTCTACACAGCAGCTGGGTTCTCACACCTCGACAGAAGTATGTAGTCTTGACTCTTATTCGCAGCCCTGCTTTGCATCCATGGATAGGTTCAAGGGGTGGAGCCCCAAGTCTTGGGAACCAATACATTTGTTGAGCAAACAATAGTGTCACCCAAGGAAAGGATCACTTCCTCTATTTCTTTTGAAACCCTGATGCTGACTTGCACCATATTTTAGTATGGTCATGGGCAAGGGCCTATGTCAGACTGGGCTTTTTGAAAAGGCAGCTTCCATAACTAGTGGCCCGTTTCATCTATCATCGACTTACAGATACACTTGAAAAGGATAAAGACGTTAAATGATGGTAAGATATGGCCCCATTTGTGTTTTGTAATATGATGCCAAAGTGGAAATTCCAACAACAGGAAGGACAAAGGCAGCCACTTTATTCTCAGTGACGTCATTCTTCAGTGTACTTCCTGTACTCACGCCCACCTGAAGCTACCTGGCTGTGTGAAGCCAGCATTTCCAAGAGAGTGGCTTTGCTTTCATGTTCCATGTAGCGCCCAGACCCTCTGGGAGGTGGCTGTGAACTGATTAGGACTGTGAATCCCACTTAATCAGCCTGCAGCTCTCCACCTCCTGGGGAAACACATTCTCTTCCACCCGTACCATCTCTGAGGTCTGTAAATTGTGCTTTTCACACAGTCCTTTCCCCGAAAGAGTCTGTCACCGTAGTACCTGGTGGGGTCTTTTCTCCTTGCAGTGATTTTAATTATCACTCGAGCAGTTTTGACAACACGGTCAGATCACAGTGATTACAGCTGAGCTGGGGCTAAACATAATCACCATTTTGCCCAGCGAGTTTCTTCTCTGCCAAACAGGCATCTGAGACCCTCGAGCCTTACAGAATCACTTAAAATGAGGGAGAGGCACATTCTCTCTAGGGATCTCATTGCTACAGATGGAAAACTGGAGAGAACTGGAGGAGAACCCCATCATTATCTGATCCCCCCAAATTACCAGTATTGGATGTAGGCTGTTAATCACATTGACTTCTGTCCCTTGGGACAGACCCATCAACTCAGGAGACACCAACACAAGCTTTCATGAAAAGGCTCTGTTCCCCCTGGACCTCTACTTCCAAGCAAATGAAAATGTTTCTCTCTGTTCTTTTCTCGTCTCCCAGGATGGTGGTTGTTATGGTGATCTGTTCTGCAAAGCTCTGAAAACGTATAATATGCTTTGTTTTGGAATTTACCGGCTGAGAGATGCTCACCTCAGCACCCCCAGTCAATGCACGAAGAGGTGAGTGTATTTCCACTCTGCTCTCCCACCCTGACTGCAGAGACAGAAATGCCCTTTCTTGTCCCCCACTATGAAGGCGAATGTCCAAGTCCCTGCTCTCAATATGTGAATGACTCTGCCCACAACACTGAGTTTGGGGGCTATGGGAGGCTTTTTTCTTTAATTACTCACAGCAGATGTAAAGACATTATGGGAAGAATTCAAGTTTTATAGAATAGTTCCTAGGAGCATCTCCTCCAAACTCTAGCTACTGGGATTATTCTGCTGGTACCTAATATAGAGATATTTCATATTGCTAGTATTTAAGGTTGATATTTCCTTTGCCATATCTTAGATGCCTCTGTTTCTACTTAATATCTTTTAATTGACTCACTTTTTAAACTTTATATATTTATTTCAAGAAATTTGTGTATTATCACCTTAAGCAGAAAAATGTAATAGTTTGTGTGTGCTAGTAAGTTTTTAATTGCATTAAAATAAATTCATAGCAGCCCCAAATTAAAAGCATATCACAGAACTACCAAAATCTGTGCATGTGCATAATACATCTCAAGAAACAGTGCTACAGATATTAGCATTTCTCACCATTGTTTGCACATTAGAATCACCAGGGGTGCTTTTATAAAATATTCTGATTTCCCTGATTTCTCTGGTCTGGGTTAAAAGTATAGATAATTTCTTAGTGCCCAGTGATTACAGTTTATAGCCAGAGTTGAGACTAATTACTGTAGACCATGAGTTCTCAAAGTTTAGTGAACATAAGAATCATCTACAAAGCTTGTTAAAACACAAATTGCTGGACCCCATTCCCCAGAATGTCTGACTTTGTAGGTCTGGAGTGAAGTTGCTTAAGAATTTATATTTTAGGGGCACTGGGGTAGCTCAGTTGGTTGAGCATCCAACTCTTGATTTCAACCCAGGTCATGATCCCAGATCAGCCCCGTGATGGGCTCCATGCCGAGGGTGGAGACTGCTTGTGATTCTCTCCATCTCTGACAGGTGTGAAGTGGTAGCTCAGTGTGGTTTTGATTTGTATTTCCCTGATGTTGAATGATGTTGAGCATCTTTTCATATGTCTGTACAAACAGAGAGGGAAGCAAACCATAAGACTCTTAACTATTGAGAACAAAGTGAAGGTTGATGGGGATGGGAGGGTGGGAAAAATGGGTGATGGGCATTGAGGAGGGCACTTGTTGGGACGAGCACTGGGTGTTGTAGGTAAGTGATGTATCATGGGAATCTATGCACATTGTACACACTGTATGTTAGCTAACTTGACAATAAATTATATAATTTTTAAAAAATAATTAAAAATATAAAATTATATTAAAAAATATTCTAGCTCCCTCTGCCCCTCCCCTTCCCCCTCTCAAAAAAATAAATAAAAGAAGTTGCATTTTATTTCTTTGTATGTTTAGTTGTTTTGAGAGAGAGAGAGAGAGAGTGCGCACACAAGCAGGGGAGGGGCAGAAAGAGAGAGGGAGAGAGAGAATTCCAAGGAGGCTCTGCACTGTCAGCACAGAGCCCAACACAGGGCCAGAACTCACAAACTAGGAGATCATGATCTGGGCCAAAATCAAGAGTTGGATGCTTAGCCCACTGAACCACCCAGGCACCCTCAAGAAAATGCATTTTAAGCGATGCCCAGGTGATGCTGATATGTCCGGCTTGAGGACCCACTTTGGGATCTCCTTCTACTATAGAGGAAGTGGTGGGGTTTTTTTAGTTGTTGTTTTGTTTTGTTTTAGTGGTGTCTGGTGTTAACCAGAGAAAGCTCGATGGGATTGAGAGCAGTTAAAGCAGGACTAGTACAGAAGCAGCGAGGGATCTTATCTTCTCTCATTTAGAAAAATCCCCACCAAAATTGATTTTTAAAAGGTGAAGAGTGAGAAAGGGCTAAGAAGATGTTAGGTCGCGGGAAAGAAAGACCCTGTAATGTGCGTCAGAACATTCTCTAGCGAAAGAGGCAGGGCAGTGAGCCTCCTGCGTGCATCTGGGCTACTCGGGATCAGAAGTGAACTCGATCTGGAAGGCAAAGGGGCACACAGACCATTGGAGGCACAGTTTGGTTTCCTAACACAGCCACTAATTCAGACTCCGTTGCCAGGGCCCGCGCCTGGCCCCCTGCGCTGAGCTAAAGAGGAAGACCTAGTTGAGCTTGGAAGAGAACGTTTAAGGTCTTGGACCAGGTAGAAGCTTTCCAGATCCTCTGCAAGACCTGCGAATGCTTTCGGTTCCGTGAGAGGTGAAACATGCACCCAGTTCTCCTCATTATGTGACTCCTTTGCTTCCCTGTCCAGGTACGTCATTACCAACCCCCCGTACGAGTTTGAGCTCGTGCCGACAGACCTGATCTTCTGCTTGATGCAGTTTGACCACAACGCGGGCCAGTCCCGGGCCAGCCTGTCCCATTCCTCCCACTCGTCCCAGTCCTCCAGCAAGAAGAGCTCCTCCGTGCACTCCATCCCATCCACCGCAAACCGACCCAACCGGCCCAAGTCCCGGGAGTCTCGAGACAAACAGAAGTACGTGCAGGAAGAGCGCCTCTGATATGTGTATCCACTGCCACCGTGTGTGAAACTGTATCTGCCACTCATTTCCCCAGTGGGTGTTTCCAACAGTAACTTTCCCCCTTTCCCCCTGTAGCCCCTCCCCTTTTTTTTACACATATCTGCATATGTATGATAGTGTGCATGTGGTTGCCATTTTTATTTCACCACCATAAAACCCTTGAGCACAACAGCAAATAAGCAGAAGGACCAAAAGTTATTTATGATTCTAGGGGGGAAATAACCCAAAGGCATGCTCCAGACATAAATAGCTCACTGCAGGAAGGAGTTCGCAGAGTAGAGGAGCGCCATTGTGATCGATGTCAGTTATGCAAAGCAAGTTTAGTTAATGTAGAAGAAAACTTTGTTCTGATTGGTCAGGATTATCAGGGTGCTTTGGGTTTTGATTCTGTTGTTGTTTTCCTTCCTTCCTTTCTTTTTTTTTTTAATACATACTCAATAATATATACATACACATTTCTTTGAAACAAGCAACCAAAAAGCAACAAAAACATATCGATTGTTTCCACTCTCTGGGCTGAAGTATTGCGAAGCATTTAAAAGGCTTTCGCCATTTGTGTAGATGATTATTAAGCACCTGCTTTTATAAGAGAACATCTTAGATTTTTTACTCACCATGGCCTTTTGTCCCAGAGCTAGCTTCCTCTGGGAGTTCTTGTGCACATTTCTACCCTTACTAAGGAGGAAAGAATAGTATCCCATTGGTGGATGTATCAAATTCTAGTCATCTAAGTGAACAGAGGTTTGATTGCATATTAAATTGTTATTCTGTCTCCTTATGCCATATGACTAGCTATTTTTTTTCTTTTACTTTTGACATTTGGGATGAAAAGCCATATGTATCATAAATATCAGATGTAAGTCATTAAAAACTGCCTTCCTGGGACTTTTACATCTTTTAAAAGGTGAATTACTTACCTTATGTACAGAATAAATAATGCTCAGGAAAGAGCGAGTATTTTTCCATGCATTCTCAGGGGACCTTTTCACTCCCCTTTGTTTGATTAGCTAGGGCCCCAGTGCCAGGCAGGAGCAGAGGCTGGGGCCAAGCTAGAGCGTGAGGAAGATAAACCCAGCAGCAGATCATGTTTTCCTAGGAGCCGACATGCTAAATAAATCAGAATGTGGGGGGATCGAGCCACAGTTGGCTCAACAGAGACAAAAGCTAGCTACCACTTCAAACTGTGGGCACAGCTGCGTGGCGTTGGCTGTCCCACAGCAGAAAGCTGGTGGGAAAATTCCTCCTCCTCATGTTCTTGAACACAGCCAATTCACTTAGCAGAGGTGAATGACAACAATAGCAAACTGCTCCTTATCGTTACGAGATGCGGAAGAAGAAGTGTGCAACAGTGAGCCAAACACATTTCGGTATAATTCTTTTGTTTTGTTTTCTTTCTTTCCTTCCTTTTTAAACAGTTAGTAAAGCATGAGATGAAAGGTAGAAAAATCCCTTTTTCAGCATACAGTCGTCAGAGGTTTATGCATGCTGTAGGCAGTGCGGTAGTTCTTATGAATCGGCAAACTCCACCATAACCAAATTCTTGTACGTGTAGACTAGCCCTGGGCTGGCGTATACCTCTTAGAAATGTCTACTTGAAACAATTCCATCGAACAGAATAGGGGCGGACGGGAGGAGAAACATGTGACAGCGGTACCAACTCTAAAAAGGTGTTTTTATGGTGAATGCTTTGAGTTTAGATTTCGAATCCCCTCTCCCCCGCCCAAGCATGATAGTTTTGGAGATTTGCTTGCTGTGTGAATTGACAAGCACTTTTACTGACAAAATGGTGAGGTCCAGTCTGCACATGTGCCCCCACACCAAAGACAGGGCAGTGCAGTATTCAGACTAGGAATGGGTGGGGGAAATTGTATACATGTGTATTAAAAAGCCCTCTGAGTGGAAGATTTTTTTTCAAATTATTTTTGTCCCCATATATATTGATTTCTATATTACGTATAACTATCTATCTTTTTATATAGAACTATATCTATATCTATATATATGTACACACATATACATGTATGTGTGTGTATATATATATATATATATATATATACACACACGTATACCCCAGTTTGGGATCATGAAGAGTTTTTCATGCATTCTTTGCAAAGGACGTTATAAAGTTGTGCCCATAGAACATTTATAACTATAAGAATGTGCCAGTTAAAGTGCTCAACAGGAAATATGACAGTTTAAAAGCATTGTAAAACTCACATAGCTTACTTCTCTCTCTAAAGTGCAACAAGGATGAATAGAATGGGCCAAGGTATGACAATTAATGGTTCTGCATGACCTAGCCGCTGCTGGGGGTTTTCTTCTATAACGTTGTCCTTGTGAAAACTTTTGTGAAATTAAAAAAAAAAGGAGTTACAAATTTTATTCTGTTATTGGTTTGTTTCTTTTTATTTATATCGTTCTGTTTGTGGTTTTCTTTAGTTTGTTTTGCTCTTTTTTTTCCCCTCCCCTTTCCCCTCCCTTTCCCTCCCACCTTCTCTTTCCTCCACTTTCTAAATTGCTCAGCGCGATGAGGCTGTGCTGCTGCTACTGCTAGATCCCTTAGAGTTTGTTTTGGTGTTCTTGGTTTTGGGGTTGGGTAATTTGGGGGGAACTTTTCTCCATCTGGCTTGCCTTTAAATCTGCACGTGGCCTCCCTGCCCACCTTGGTACCTTGCTCCAAGTCCAAAAGCATTTTCCCATCAAGAAACCCAGCTTCCTTCACTTCCCCCCATTACCACTACCCCAACCCAGCCGCCCCCCCCCCCCATCAGTCTGTCCACATCTCTGTGTTTATCTTGGCAAGGCCTACTAAATCAAAGTATGATGCCAGGTGATAAACTTTGCTGGAAAACATTTGCAGCTATTCCATTTGGCAAACCTGCTTCTTGGTTAATGTTTTATCCCTCCTTTTAATTTAGACCAGGAAGTTTATTAATGACAAAAGCATTGGTCTCCTTTAGGTTTGATCAGGATGACCCCAAGTTAAAACTGTTCAGTTATGTGTATCAACTCGTAGCCCACACCCAGTTATCTGGGGTTTCACGACTCAGTCTCTGTATTTTCCAGGTCTTTCCTGTCACCTGCCTTTCAGGCATTTGTTAAATCGCAGCCAGAGATTGGGTAGATAGAGAGAAGTAGATCCAAAATGTGTGTTATGCACAATCTGTTAGCAGCTCTGATGAGATGATGTTGTGACAGGAATAGAATGGGAGCAGACCGTGACATGAGATGAAACTTTGGAATTTTCCTTGGACTTAGGGCACACACTTGAGAGTTAACTATAGTGTTTGGCCAATGATATATTCAATGATGAAAAGGTATCATTGTGACCTCTCGTCTGTTAGCTAAAACTACTGTATTATACTTTCTTCAACAGAACACAGAATCTCCTCCATTGTTTTCCATGTGACCCCAGACTTCCCATTCCCCCTTCAGGTTCTCTTAGGAAGGAAGCACACAGGCTTCTCATATTATGTCTCTCCCCTTCCTGCTCCCCATAAAAAATACAAGAATAGGAAAGGAAAGGAAAGGAAAGGAAAGGAAGAAAGGAAAGAAAGAAAAGGAAGGAAGGAAGGAAGGAAGGAAGGAAGGAAGGAAGGAAGGAAGGAAGAGAGGAGAGAGAGAAAGAAAGAGAAGTAGATAAGGGTAGAAAGTGAAAGAATTATTTGAAGAGAAAGTATATGCATTTAAAAAGAGCAATAGCTAGAAACTCAATTATCTGTACCATTCTAGAAAAGAAGCAATTTGTGAGCCATTCAGTCCAATTTGCTTTAGGCTTTGAAGGGCTGAACCTTAAGTGAGTGGGTAGACCAGGAGGTGCAGTGAAGCCTTCTCAGCCTCAGTGTCCACCCAGTTGATCATAAAATCATCAACACCCCTAAGGACTGCTACCCATGGCCCTTCCTGAAGCCAGTTCAAATGGATAAAGAGAAAGCTGGACCCATATACATAGAGTTCTACCACAGCTGAAGAAATATCAAATTCTGTTATGAATATTAAAGATTGTGACCCAGAACATTACAATAGCACTCAGTAATATTTTGAAATACATTGACCTCAAATATTTGTATACCTTCATCATGTTATGCATTATCTTTACTCCTTTGGCTTATCTTTAAAAAAATACAAGGAATGCCTCTAGGTGCTTTCCGGTGCTGCTGTGCCGTTAGCCCTTTCTTCTGAGAAGGGGAATAGCCTTATAAGTTCCATGAGACAGAGGAACTGACTTGCCTCCTGCCAGCACTGTCAAGATCTCAGATGACTGGAAAAACCTTTGACTGGCTCTTCTTCAGCATGGGAAAAGCCTAAAGGTGTCTGCATCCCAATAGAGACAATTAAATCAACCTGCCAGGTTCCTATAGCAACAGGCTCCTGAAGGATAAAGAGGGTAGTGTAGAAACTTCGGGGTCCACGGAAGTCAAGACAGGGTAAAAATCAGTGTTTCCATCAGCTTCTTCAGCCCATCCCTGCTTTGTCATAACATGATGAAGTATATAAGCTGTAGGCACCTGTCAGGAAATTGGTTGCCTGTCTCCCACCAGGAGATTACGCGCCTATTACCTAGGGAGGCGGGGGGGAACAGTGAAGAGTCTGTCCTCAGGGTGTCAGCTGAATCAAGGCCCCAGAAAAGGGCCAAAGGGGGCAATGTGCTCTGCCCAGCAAATAGCAGCATTTCAGTGAAAACAGTTTCAGTGAAAAGAGACAAAAAGAGTCATGGCGGACAATTGCTAGTAAGTGACAGTTTTCGTAAATGGAAGCTGCTCTGGTTCTGGTATGAATGATTTTCATTCCTATGAAATAGCCATACTTTGCCCATGGAGAGGAAAGAAGGCAGTTTGCATGGACGGGGTCCACTGGGGGCCTCAGGCTCTGCCGGGCAGAAGGCAAATGCTGGCCTGCCTCCCGGAAAGGGGAGCTGTGAAACCATACGGCATTACCTTTGAAGGCTTCAGCTCCTGTTTAGGGCTTACTGTTCTCAGCTGTTCTCTCTATCCGAACGGAACCTTTTGCTTTCAAGCCCTCTCTCTAAACCTCAGCTTGTGGTACAGCGAGAAGAGGGCCAATTATTCCAAGTACGTTTGCTGTTACGTTTGCTGTATTATCATCTCTCCTTTAATGTACTCTTCTCTGGGGAGTAGTTACGTGAAAAGGCTAAATCCCATAGTACTAACAACCCACAGAGCCAGCAAAGAGGCTCAGTTTTCACAGTGCAACCTACTTCTCCGCTTGCAGGTACCCTGGCAGTCAGATCCGCCCAGCTCTGGGGTTCTTCCTCACCCAGAACCCACTCCTCCAGGCTCTTTGTGGCTTGAGGAAGTCTAAACTCATATCCTGGACCCTATCATCTATCTCGGTGATGAAAGTAGCAATGGAAGAGGCAGATGGTTTGTGGGTGGATAGGACACCTGTTGAATATAAAACTATTATTTCAAGGATACAAGTCTCATGGGAGGGTAGAATCCTTGAATCCCCCCAGAAAGAACATTGGGTCACTCCTTCCTCTCTTACCTTCCAAATGAAGAAAACCCAAGTGGATCCTCCTCTGTCATCCCTGCTGCCAAAATCCACATTCTGCAGGCCGACACCCCAATTTATGCTCCTTAGTTCTCCATCCCCAGTTCATTTGCAGCCACTGAAAAGTACCACCCATCCTCACGGAGCCCTTTAGTGCTGAGAATACTCACTTTAATGCTAACATGTAACATAACCTTATATGACAAGCTGACACCTTAGTGCTTACTTGATGTCAGATACTTTTCTGAGAACTTTACATAAGTTAAGTC